TTTGATGGGCTTTAATTTGGTATAAATACTTTCTGATATTATCTGTCTTCTAGGTCGTAGAGTGGGGGAGACAAAGGTTATGGGACATCCTGTAAATGGTGATTTTTCTTGTGGCTAGGCCCAAAAATGAATGTGCATTTTTTCTTTAAAACATCTTCATAAAGACTATATCTTGAGGATGAAAAAATAATCCGTTTACTTATTGCATTCTTCAATAGTTCTAAACAGCATATCTCATCAAATTGTCTAAGGCGAGAGGATGTGAGTGAAGATGGAAAATATTTGCTCGATAACTTCGGTCAAAAATGGCATCATTCGGCACAGAATTTAATGCTGAATTCAATTCAACCACTTTAGATTCAACTCAGATAGTATAGCGAATCCAGATGCGAAAGACTGCGAAAAAATTTGAAAAAAATCAGTATTTCGGAATGAAGTGCCATTTTTTGATCGAAAAACTGGCTCGAACATGTCACCATTCGATTCAGAATCGAATTCTGCGCCTAACTCGAATCTAGTGCTAACTTTACCTACGTGTAGAAATTCGTTTGAAAGAGATACAAGTTTTTCCTTATCTTGTACTGAAGTAAAAAATTCACATGAGATTGGCCCCGATTTTGACACTTCAGAGGGATCCTTCCAATTTCATTTTTGGAAATACCTTCTCCTGCTTTGACCTCTTTGCACGACCTCTGGATTGCTGCATGACTAACTATCAATAATTATCCCTCAACATAGTTATAATAATGGTTTGAATAAAATTCAATTAGAAAATTATATTTATCTTATCAATGACTCACAAAATAGCAATGATTTAAAAATTGAAGCATTAAGATCGATAGTCTTAAGTGCCATGAAAAATCAAAATTTACTTGAATTTATTGTAGTTAAAATTCTAATCGACAATATTAAAAACTTTTTGAAATTGTCTCTCAACGACAGAACATACTAAATGTTGATCAACTGTCAACGAAAATTATTAGATGTTTGAGTAATAGTTGGCGAAGGAGCTTATCTTATTTTTGAGAAAAGTACAATAGATAACTCTGATTCTTATAATAGGCATCTTCATTAGTTCAAAACAATTTCTACAAACTAAATGAGTTATATTGTCTTTGTTCA